ACAATAATAAAAAAAGGTTAGTTTGTTTGTGAAGTAAATTGAAGTTTAGTGAAGTTTAGAAAGTTTAGACAAGCGAATATGTAAATTATGTGATTAAAATAGGTATTATAAAAGGCAAAACCATTATATAATAAAAAAAGATTAGTTTCTTTTTGAAAAAAAAAATTGAGAAAAATCAAACCTATGTATGTATGTACATACGTACAAACATACCTGAGTTCAGGCATACTTATATGCATACTAATGTTATTTAGTAAAGGCGCAAACCTTAATGCATATGATAATTATTAATACATATTAGTCTTGAAAAAAGGTCAGAAGATCAGTCAAATATAAATGGTCAAGTGATTGTATATTGGATTTTTCTTCTCAAATAAAATCTTAAACAAATTTCACAAAATTTTGAATAAATGATAGATAATGCCTTTTGATTCTAATCCCATTTCATAATATTAAAGGAATTGTGTCTCACCCCATTTCATAATATTGAAGAAATTGCATATTTTTTGATATCACATCTTTAAGCATTGGATTTTTTCCTCAGTATAACAACATATTAAATAGGCTGAAATGTAGAATGTATATAAAAGGGCCTAAAAAAAAAAAAAAAAAAACTAGTGAATTTTATTTTATAAAAAAAAGGATTTATACTCAATTTTCCTTATTTCATAATGTCAAAACTGACAATTACTAAAAAGTGGCAGCAGAAAAGAGCAAAGGTAGCTTGTTCTGCACATGCATCTTACTCTCTTGTTGATCTTGATTCAAGTGAAGAATACCTTGATTCTAGTGGCAATTCAGACGAAAGTTTGGATGATAATTTTATAGAGCTGGACAACCTTGATGATGCGAATATAATCATCGAGCAACTTCGTGCATTTTTGCTAGTGGGATCTAAAAAAAAAGGTGCCCTTCTGTCTATGTTGGGAATTCTAAACGTACAAGACAAAGAAGAAATAAGACCTTCAGAAAAGCAGTCATTGGAAGCTTGAAGATTACACATTTTTTTTCCAGTACACAACCACCAATGGTAGATAATGATGAAAATTATAGGGACTTTCAAGACCAGGGTGATCAGGTTAGAAGGCTTTTTTTTAAAAAAAAAAATCAAGTTTCGATATAGGATTAACAATGTTAGTTAATAGGGTGACGATGAATTAGGTGACGAATTAGATGAAGAATTGAACTAAAAAAAAAAAATTTCGTAGCGCAATTGAATTTGTAGAAGAAGTATTGGATGATGAAGTGCTCTCAACAACCGAAGAGGCTCATTACCTGGCAGTTCTTTATTTTCTTCATTTATGTTTGCAAGGTCAAAAAAAAATAGAAGTGTCAAAAACAGTCGCAGACATTGTTAATGGTGGGCCATAGCTTGCATGCTGTATAAGGAAGTGGACGAACACTTGTATGAAAAAGGAGGTAATTCGGCCAGACCTCCGAGGAAGATCCCCTTCAAAAAGCCTGCTCCATGATGAGTTGGTTTCTCTTCAAGTGGCCTTCTATCTTCACTCTAAAAAATTTAATGTAGACCCTATTATGGTCAAAAATTATTTTAAACAAGAAATCCTTTCCCTATTGAACATTGAATCTGTGCAAGGTATTTCAGTTAGAACAGTACGTTGGTGGATGCACAAGCTTGGCTTTCATTATCAACGATATCAGAAAGGTTTATATGCAGACGGGTATGAGCGCCTTGATGTCATCGAATACTGCCAAACTTTTCTCCTGAAGGTTGCCCAGCTTGAACGATTTATGTCCAAGTGGGTCGATCCAGAATGCAAAATGAGGACCTTTCCCGATCTACATTGTGATGAAAAGAAACATGTATGGATAACACATGATGAAACCACCTTTTATGTTTATGATAGACTGCATTCTGTATGGAGCCCAGAGGGAGAACAGCCATTAAGAAAAAAAGGGCTGGGTGCTGCTGTGCACATAAGCGACTTCTTAACAGAAACTATAGGATCACTTAAAGATGATCAGGAAGAAGCACATGTAATGATGGTTAAATGTTATTTTTAACTTTAGTAATCAATATTTAATGTTTTAAGTAAATTAATTAATATCTAAAAATTCTTTTCTAATTTTTTAGGTTTTGGGTGCTAACTATGATGGTTATTGGGACTCTGAAAAACTCCTTAAGCAAGTAAAACGAGTGGTTAATATTTTTGAGCGAACACATCTGGGATATGTAGGTATATTTGCCTTTGACAATGCCACATCCCATAAAGCATTTTCTGAGATGTGCTTGTGGCTTCAAAAATGAATCTTGGTCTGGATGGTTTGGCTCCAAAAATGTGTAAAACTATGTGGAATGGTAGTCGTCAATCAATGGTTATTGAGAATGGTTATTTTATTTATGACAAAAAAAAAAAAAACTTATATGAATTTGTATGGGCAGCCTAAAGGAATTCAATGGGTTCTTAATGAAAGAGGATTATGGCGGGATGGTATGATGCTTGAGTGTATTTCATGTAAAAAAAAAGAGGCAGATCCAAATATTATTGATTGCTGTGTGCATCGGTTAATGGCTAACCAGCCTGACTTTCTTGAGCAATGTGGTCAAATTCAGCAAGAAATTGAGTCTCGTGGGCATAAGGTTATATTCTATCCCAAATTTCATCCTGAGCTCAACTATATCGAAATGTATTGGGGAATGGCCAAAAAATATACTCGATCTAATTGTGAATATTCACTTCCAAAAACCAGGGAATCGATCATTCGGGCTTTCGATTCTATTTCCGTAGAGCAAATTCATTCCTTCACTAGACTTTCGTATAAGTGGATGGATGCTTACTGACATGGATTGAAAGGAAAAGCGGCTGAATATGCTGTTAGGAAAAGTAAAAAACACCGAACGATTAGTGAAGAAATTTTAAATCAGATCAATGAATTTTTAAATTAAAAAAATTTACTTTTCTGTTTTGTGGGCTTCATAATTTTGGAGTTATGTTGATTTTTTTTTTTAATTATTGATATGTATTTGACTTACCTACCCATAAATATATAATTTTTTAAAAATTATTGATTTTTAAAAATTGATTTTTAAAAATTATTGATTTTTAATAAAGAATCATATTGATTTTTAGTAAAGTATCAGTGCGCATAGTGTATTCATGAATGAGTGAAATAACACTTGCTACTAGTGGTAAATTCAAAGTAGCTTTGATTAGTATTGCAATTTTTGTGAAATGTAAGTTTTTATGACTATCTAAAACTACAGAAGATACAATTTACGTATTCAATTGAGTATTACTCAAAGTGGTTAGTTATATTAGTTATACTTTTCGAAGCCAATAAATAAAAAAATTTTGTAATAAATTTTATTTAAACGATATTCTTTTGCAGTAGAAAGGTTCAAACTGCCTTGAAAATCATAAGATTTTGTAATATTCAGTAACTTCGGCACAGAAATCGATTTGCATAAAATAATTTTGGATATCAAAATTACCCTTTTGATAAATCATTATTTTGGCAATTAGTCTGTCAAATTTACGTTTAAAAAATAATTGATACTTAAATATAGTGCAATGCTTGGGTCTTAGCAAAACCTCTATTTTTTAAATTGGATAGCAGTCGTGGGTACTGTTAAAGAAATAGGATACTATAGTTGGGGATAAAATAATAATATAGTGTATCCTGGATATTATTTAAAAGCTAAGCGAGATAGGTGATCTGAGTCTTAATGCAATGTTACAATAAAATGGCAACGTATATATGTATCATAATAACAAACGATAGAGTAAAGAAATTTAGACTTCATAATATTTTAGATTCATTATAAATATATGTGCAGTGATGGCCATATCTAAAGATCTTAGACAAACTGGATAAAATCGTCTTGACTATGTTAAACTTTTTCTTTGTTCTGACTGATTATGCATAATAATTAACCAATCAAAACTCATGTTGCATAAATCAAATTTTGGTGCTTTATAAAAATTAACCAATCATAATTGATTATGTAATTTTAAAATTTGGTGCTTTTAAAAAAAAATTGGATGTTTTTTGCTATCCGGTACTGTATAAATATTATTTTATATATATACTTAAATTATATATTTTTTATATAATTAAAATATAATGGTAAAAAATATGCATGTTTGCATACTATAGATAGTTATATAATTGGATTACAAATGTCTTTACGAAATGAAGATATATCACATGATAATTCTTGTATAATGGTATTTATATTATAATTTAATAATAATTTAATATTTTTAAAATTATATTTAAATATTATTTTAATATTTT